GGCAATCTTTCTTAAGTGGCCATATTTACATGCATGAAGAAATCTGCACTTTACCTGGTAACTCTGTGAATCTACATGTGAGAGAAAATTGATTAAAATGCTGGTTATCAGTGATATTGAATAATGGTTATGTAGCATTGTAACAATACTTAAAATATTAATGAAAGCATATTGACATATGTTTACTGTGTGTTATATAAGCTAAAATACAATAGAATGTCACACACACATGCCCTGGAGGGTTATATACACATAGCAGGTGGACATCAAAAATAGAAGTGTGGCTCTTTATCTTGAATTCCAAACAGAAACAAACATGGCAATAATCTCAGTCTTTCTGTTATGAAAGGAGTTCAGCAGTTTGAGCTGGTGGGAAAATATTTTAACTATTTATCTTCAGAACCAACAAAATAAAACAACAAATTGAAACCCCTAATGAAAAGCTCCTACAAAGATGTTGAACTCAAGTTAATGTAAATATTGGAAGCAAGGCTTTTAAGGAATATTCATGAAACATAATTTTACTATTTTATATATTATGAGACTTATCAATATTAATTTTGTTGTTCTCACAAGTAAATTGCACATAAAATTGCATTTGAATTCTATAATACAGCCAGTGATGGAGGATCTAGTGTCACGTGTGCATTTGTTCCACCTCACTGTTGTTAGCATACAGTGAAAATGTCATTGGCCAACCAGCTAAATATTATGAACACAAACACATTATTTACTGAAGTAATGAAGTCAAGCTGGCTTGGCACCGTCCACTGGACAGGTGTAACCCAGCAAAACTAATCAACGTCTCTCCAAAGCAGATTATGGAAAGCATCTCTAAGCAGTACAGTAAATGTGCCTTTTCTGGTGTTTCACCATGCATAGACAAACATTTCTACACAGATTCATCTTAATCCGTTGAAAAAATAAAATTTTTATTGGAAAAAATTATACAAGCTTTAAATTTATACTAGTTTCCATGTTGTTATGGATAAGAATAATGTATTTGAGTTGTACTGTATTTTTAGATATCTTCTCTGGTTTTGGTCTTAAATTTCAGTGACTATTTAGGAATCTTTTTTTTTTTCTTTTACCTACTGCAAGTAAAACATGATTGTATCACTTCTGAAGTAGCAGGGGTTTGCTACAGTAAAACCTGGTCTGTGAACACCAGCAATGACACTGCACACCACCCAGCGCGAGTCATCCTTCAAGTGCTGGGTGGCGTCAGCGCTGACACTTTTTACATGTAATGTGGATGGCAAAGATTATCTCAAGTTCCATCAGGTATTTCTTATGGCTAAATCAGTCTATTTATTCAATAAAACTGTATTTCCCCAGCAGCCCGAGGTCCTGCTGCAGCCTGCATAACAAGCTCGGTCAGCGTGGCGCACGCACGTTCTGGGACTCCAATTACAGAGCATCTTGGAAAACGGCTGGCATTTGTCTGTCTTTGACTCCTGTGCACTGACATTCAGTTAGAGTTTAGTTAGAGATAGTGCTGCATTCCCTCGATATAACTATGTTTTTGTTTTCTCATCCACATTAAATGTAGGAATATGACATCCATCCATCCACTTTCAAAGCTGCTCATCTTGTCCACACATTAGGTGAAAGAGTGGGAGAAGGCTCCACCCTCGACAGGTTACCAGTCAGTCAAAGTGTAAGAAATGTAAGTCTTAGACAATTGCACACTGAGAATTGACCATTAAACACAACTGACCATTAACTGGTTAAAGTTTTGAGAGAGAAATGTGTAAAAAAGGCAAATATTTTAAGACGGTATATGACCTGTGATATTGTTTTAGGTTATGGATATGGAGGAGAATAATGAATGTATTCTGGAGGAATCTAAAATCACAGCTGACACTTTCTACATGTAATGAGGATGGTAAGATTATCGCAGCTTTTTTTTTTTTAAATATTAACTGAATCACTTTACTCTGTGCAGCTGCTCATGTGCCTCCTCTCACTTTGTCTTCCAATTCAAACTGTAGATGACATTAATTGTAAAATTAAAGTTTTAATGTTAACTTGACCTCAATTGTGTAATAATGAGAAGCCGTCAATGTTCGTGGCAATGCTTGAACTATTTATGATTTTCTCTACAGTTCACTAGCCTTCTTGTTATCGGGGCTAGAAATGAGTTTTCTGAAAAGTGGCCAAAGTGAGATCTCCCCTCTTGGCTTACAGAACATGGCGCACTAAAGTGAATCACAGCAGACAGCTGGGGCCGCCCTTTATGGTAATACACCCTCTACAATTACTGCTTCGACCTTCCCTGGAAGAAAAATGGGGAGACGTCCATTTAGCAGCCCTTTCAAACACTTAGTTGCAGACATGTTGGGCAGCAGGACCACCTTTTGCCTGACATTGACTCTGGTTTAGAGGAGACAGAAAAGCCATCTGAAAGATGACAGGTTGAAAGATGAGATGCAACTGTCAAACAGCAAGCAGACCATGGCACATTAAAGCATCCATTCTGCCTTTATGTAACACAGACTTTGACTTTTGTTGTACATATGTTTTAAGGAATATAGTCACATTCTTTTCATTTGTATATTTAATTTATTTTACACAGTAATTTTGTATTCAAACCAAGGCTTGACTCTCGGAATACTAGGCCATCCATTTCCATCCATTTTCCTCCGCTTATTCGGGACCGGGTCGCGGGGGCAGCAGCCTAACCAAAGATGCCCAGACTTCCCTCTCTCCAGACACTTCCTCCAGCTCCTCCCGGGGAATGCCCAGA